GAACGACGGAGACGACGACTCGAACGGGCAAGCCCCTCACACACGCCGACAGGGTCGGCGGATTCTTGTCGGGATCGCTTTCTCGTAGGACACAGTTCTGCGCGCACTGCCATCCAGCAGGGACGACGCCCTGGCGATGCTGATAGGGGCTGCCTCGCGAGGGATATCCGCGGGGCAGGAGGCGGGAGCGAGGACGGGGCCGGGAGGGTGGCGACGGTATACCGTAGATCTTCACCTCCTCCTCCTCCTCCTCCTCCATTTCCTCCTCCTCCTCCTCCTCCTCCTCCTCCTCCTCCTCCTCCTCCTCCTCCTCGTCTAATTATTTTTCCTCCTCCATCTCCTCCTCCTCCTTTTCCTCCTCTTCCTCCTCCTCCTCCTCCTCCTCCTCGCTCCAGTAATTCGAGCTGTGCTTCGCGGAGAATGAAGTGGTCCCTGCCCTTTCCTTCCGTAGCGTCCGCGTAAGAAGCGAACCGCGTGAGAGGACCGCTCCGATTGCCACCGTGGGCTGTCCTCCCTACGTGGTGTGATCTATTCTCTCCGAGCAGCACTGCACACGTCTCCGGATGTCTGTGTAGTGGTTTCGCCTGTGTGTGATGACCGCCCGCATCCCGCCCCGTGTTGACACGTCGCGCTGGCCCCACTGTGCTGTTGGGATGTCGCATCCCCTCTCCCGCCTCGAGAGGTGGAGCGCGTGAGAAACAAAAAGAGTGAGGGAGGAGGAGGAGGAGGAGGAGGAGGAGGAGGAGGAGGAGGCAGGAGGAGGAGGAGGAGGAGGCGCATCGGGCGCGCCCCAAGTTCCGCAGGCCCGGGAGAACGAGATCAGGGACGACTTGGACCGGATCACGGACAGCATCGAGCGGAAGTACACGCGCGAGGTGAAGGTCCTCGCCAGGTGCAATCAGTCGCTCGCGGCCGGGCCGAAGCAGGACACGGTTTTTGTCTCTTCTCATGCTGGCGCCTTCCCTTCTATGGCAGCTCTGCTGCCATTCCTCTTCCTCCTCCGCCTCCTCCTCCTCCCCTCCTCCTCCTCGTGCCCGAAATTGAACTCGGGGTGGCACCCTCCCCTGCCAATTCTGTCCACGGGAGAGTACCACCCCGAGTTCAATTTCGGGCACAATGTTTTTCTGGCCAAAGGGGACGACCCTCGCGATCAGGAGTTGTGTATGCGTGCCCCGTCTGTTACCCGTCCTCTCACCATGTCATGTACCTCCAACAAGATCAGATCGTTGGCTATCAACCGTCTTTTCGCTATTGTATGTAAGTACGCATGCATTACTGAGCAACGTAGTTTTATAGCGGGCCGCAACATGAACGAAAATATCTTCGAGCTTGAGTTTCGGGCTTCACATTGGTTTCTACAGCGAAACGTGGCCTCCACGGGTCTGATAGTTTACGATGTTCGTGCCGCCTTCCCTAGTCTGCTGCACGGCGACATATTTAACACCCTGCGTGCCACGGGCGTCCCCAACTTCTGTGCGCGTGTCACCCAGTGTCCCTACACGAATGTTTGAACGTCCCTCGTCTACCGTGGCCACCACTCTGTCGTGGGCTACTGGCTCCAGCGCGGCATCAAGCAAGGGTGCCCTGCCAGCGGCGTGTTGTTCGCGTTGGCCGTCGACCCCGTGTTTCGGAAGGGCTGCGTTCTTTTTATTTCGTCCTGTGAATAGTCTGGGAGCCTTCGCGGATGATGTGTGGATCAGCCCTGCGGATCTCGTGAACGCGCTTGTCGAAAGCATGACGGTTCGGGCCTCGGCTTGGGGTTATAGATTAACGTGGATAAGACCGTTGTCGTCTTCTTGGGGACGTCGGAGGCAGATTTTCGCGCAGCGGTAGTTGCTAGAGGCCTCCTTGCCCAAGGACTCCAGCTACGGCCTCACGGGCGCTACTTGGGAGTGCATATTGGGCCTGACTAATATAGTGCCTCTTGGGAGCCTGCTCTGCATAAATATAACAAGCGTGTCCAAATGATCCGTGGTTTGCAGTTGGACCTCACCAAAGCCACCGCTCAATACAACATGATCCTGTGTTCGGTTCTCACGTTTCTTGGACAGCTGGACGGTTTCTCCTAATGGTGAAATAAGCGTTTTAATTGTGAAATAGACATCTTAATGGTGAAATAGAATTTCTTAATGGTGAAATAGAATACCTTAATGGTGAAATAAAATACCTTAATGGTGAAATAAAATACACCACGTAAACACACCACGCAAACACCACGCAAAAACACCACGTAAACCGCCGCTCCAGCGGCGCACGCAAACACCACGCAAAGACACCACGTAAACCGCGACCCACCCCACGGCGCTCCGGCGCCGCTCCAGCGGCGCACGCAAACACCACGCAAAAACACCACGCAAAGACTCCCCGCTCCAGCGGCGCACGCAAACACCACGCAAAAACACCACGCAAAGACTCCCCGCTCCAGCGGCGCACGCAAACACAACGCAAAAACACCACGCAAAGACGCGCCGCTCCAGCGGCGCACGCAAACACCATGCAAAAACACCACGTAAACCGCGACCCGCCCCACGGCGGCAGCGAGCGCGGGCGGCGTCGTGCCGCTCGGACCAGGGACCGCGTCGCGCGAGGACGCGCCAGGGGCCGCCGTCGACGTCGTGGTTCGAGGGTCGGGGGTTGAGGGTCGAGCCCCTGCTGCCCCTGCCCCCGCTGCTGTTTGCGCTGCTCTGGCTCCTCCACCCTCCCTCGTCCGCCTTCGGCCGCCCTGCCAGGGCCGTGCGACGACGGCCGCGGCGACGGCGTCGGCAGCAGTGGCGGCGACGATGACGGCGGCTGTGACGTAGGAGCTGGATTCTTGACGCTCTGCGCCACTGGCCCATCCAAAAACGATGCCCGGTCAGGTTGAGGTGGCCAGGGAAGCGCAGGAGCAAAGAAGGGGTGCAGCCGCTATCTTTGAAAGGAGAAGGAGGAGGAGGAGGAGGAGGAGGAGGAGAAGGAGGAGGAGGAAATGTGCGAGGAGGAGGACATGGAGGACGACGTATAAAACACCACGTAAACCGCGACCTGCCCCACTGCGTTCCAGGGGCGTTGCAGCGGCACTGCAGCGGCGCTCCAGCTGCGCCCCTGGGCGCCCTGGCGCCGCTCCACGCATAGCAAAAAAAAAGCACCACGTGAACCGCGACCTGCCCCACTGCGTCCCCGCGCCGCCACAGCGGTGCACAAAAACACCACGCAAATACACCACGCAAAAACACCACGCAAAAACACCACGCAAAAAACACGCCGCGTGAACCGCGACCTGCCCCACTGCGTCCCCGCGCCGCCCCAGCGGCGCACAAATACACTACGCAAATACACCACGCAAAAACACCACGCAAAAACACACCACGTGAACCGCGACCTGTCCCACGGCGCTCCGGCGCCGCCACAGCGGTGCAAAAAAAACACCACGCAAAAACACCACGCAAAAACACCACGTGAACCGCGACCTTCCCCACTGCGCCCCCGCGCCGCCCCAGCGGCGCACAAGAACACCACGCAAATACACCGCGCAAAAACACCACGCAGAACAAAAAAACACGCCGCGTGAACCGCGACCTGCCCCACTGCGTCCCCGCGTCGCCCCAGCGGCGCACAAATACATTGCGCAAATACACCACGCAAAAACACACCACGTGAACCGCGACCTGCCCCACTGCGTCCCCGCGCCGCCCCAGCGGCGCACAAAAACACCACGCAAATACACCGCGCAAAAACACCACGCAGAACAAAAAAACACGCCGCGTGAACCGCGACCTGCCCCACTGCGCCCCCGCGCCGCCCCAGCGGCGCACAAATACACTTACGCAAATACACCACGCAAAAACACCACGCAAAAACACACCACGTGAACCGCGACCTGCCCCACTGCGTCCCCGCGCCGCCCCAGCGGCGCACAAAAACACCACGCAAACACACCACGCAAAAACACCACGCAAAACCGCTACGTGGTGTTTTTGCGTGGTGTTTTTGCGTGGTGTATTTGCGTGATGTCTAATTCACCCTCCAGCGTTCGCGTGGTGTTTTTGCGTAGTGTTTTTGCGTGGTGTATTTGCTTGGTGTTTTTGCGTGGTGTCTGATTTCACCATTCGGACGAACTCTCTATTCGTGATGTGCCAAAGACCGAGAGGTTGGGGCTCCAGAAATTGTCAGCTGGGGCTAACGATGCCATTACGTCGACGATGATGCAGGGTCTCACCTTGATGGGCTTCCCAGTCGAGGCGCGGTCCATAGTGCTTATTGGTCGCGCGGCACGGTACCGTGCGGCATGCTACTCGCCCTCCGTCTTTCCTCTCTCTCTCTCTCTCTCTCTGGCGGCGGCGCTTGCAGGGTTTGACTCCGACGACGACTGCGTCATCCTGTGGCGCAGGCACAGTTGGTGGAAAGAAAACATCCTCGGGAACCTTCTTGGCAATTCCGAGAGCCCCACACGCATCCCAAGTGTTGTTCGTGACGCCATACCGCTGCAGAAAAGGACGGAAGCAGTATTACGCCATCGTGCTTTTCGGTTGGCGGTGCCCACAATAGTTACCAGGCTTAGGAAGCTGCACCCCGCTATGAGTGACCAGCGTGCTGATGTTGTTTTGATGGCCTTCTTGAGGGCCTCCCCGCTCCTTCCTCCGTCGGCCCTCTCCTCGCTCCTCAAAACAGCGCGTAATTGCTGGTGCACTTCGGGGGGCGGTTTCGCAACCTCACCAACCCCTATCCGATGCGCTGCCTTGCCGGAGGGGGTACCCTACAGCACATTATCGAGTGCCCCCATTCTCATTTCGACTCGCTTGGGATTTTCCTGCCCGCTCTCCCCGCCGCCTTCTGCCTTGCTGACGGCAAGACGAGAATTCAGATTCGCCCGTTCTTTCCGCTCCCCAGTGATGCTCTCGCTTCCATTGTAGTGTACTTTGATGCATGTTTTGACGCCTGCCATACCCATCGGAATCGCGGGGGGCGAATCCGCGAGATAGGGAGCGCCCGACTTCGGCAGCTGGTGGCGCGGCAGCCCGCACTCGCTGCTCTTGTCGGCCACGCTCCCCAAGGCACGCCAGACCCGAACCTTTTGCCATCTTCTCGCCTCTTGTCCGCTTGCCCTCGTTTCGTCACTTCTCTTGGTGAGTGCGATCCCATCCTCCTCCTCCTCCTCCTCCTCCTTCTCCTCCTTCTCGTCCGTCCACCTCCACCAAGCCTCCCCGTCCTCCTGCTCGCCCCCACCGTCATCCCCCCCCCCTCCTCCGTCTCTTCCCCTCCTTTTCTCTCCTGACCGTATCCTTCTTCCCCCCCTTCGACCCTTTCCTTTTTTCTCCTCATGCCCAACCTCATTATCCTTGCCCTCCTCGCGCAGTTTCTGCTCATCCTGCCCCCCTCTTCATTATCCTTTTCCTCTCCGCTGAAACCGTTCAAACAGGTCGTATGAGAGGGGGGGGGGAGGAGGAGGAGGAGGTGGAGAAGGAGGAGGAGAAGGAGGAGGAGGAGGAAGGATATGGTGATGGTGATGGTGATGGTGATGGTGATGGTGATGGTGATGGTGATGGTGATTGTGATGGTGATGGTGATGGTGATGGTGATGGTGATGGTGATGGTGATGGTGATGGTGATGGTGATGGTGATGGTGATGGTGACGGTGATGGCGATGGCGATGGCGATGGCGATGGCGGTGGTGAGGGTGAGGGTGATGGCGTGGTGATGATGGCGATGATGCTAATGACGACGATGGTGATCATGATCAGGATGATGAGGGGGGTTATGGGAACTTTAATCCGCGAGCAGAATGAGAGCCGCTGGGCACAGGTTTCCATATCCAGGGTTGTTCGATCAATGTTAGATAGGCGTGCATGTATTTTGCCCGGGATCAGCACTGGCCCGAATGCTGATCCCTACCAACGTGGGTCTCTCTGATCTCAGTGTCGCAGCGCCGTGCATGTCAAACCCTGCGATCAAATCGCCATGGCATTTATCTGTCACCCGTAGTTTTTCTCTCAAGGTGCGGCCAGAGGAGGCCTGGTCACTTCCATTGCTCTCCTCCTGGCCAGGTTCGCCCTCGGTCCAAACGCGCGTCTGCGCGCGCCCGCTGGCGGCGGCCCGCCATCGCCCGACCTTCCGCCGGCTGCGGAGGCGCCGCTGGAGCCGGAGACGACCTCGGCGGGGGCGCGCGCCCCCTGGCTCCAGCCCGTTCTGCGGTGCGCGGAACCGATCGTGGAGCAGCGGGCGCCCTCCATCGAGGAGTTCGCCGCCCTGCTCCACGAGTGCCCGCCCCGCGCCGAGCAAGCGCCCGGGCGGCAGCTGGCCGCGTCGCTCGTGGGCCCGTTGCTCGTGGAGGCAGTCCGCTGGCTGGTCGCCAGGCTCGCGCGCTGTTGGCCCGGCTGGGCTGCGCCGCCATCGGCGTCGCGCCCGGCACCTTCTGCGCTGCTGGACGGCAGCCGTGCCCCCCGGCAGCCCCGCGGATCCGGCGTCATTGAGGGCGATGAGTTGTTCGTCGAGTGCGCGGCCCAGGTCGCGTTGCGGCGGGCGTCTCTCAGCTTCAGCCTGCCCGCGCCGTCGTCGCTATGCCAGACGTGCAACGACACGCACGTGGAGAAGCTGGGCGCCGGGGGGCCCGACATCAGAGCCTGGTGTCGCAAGGCTCCAAGGGGGCGGGGCGCCTCCAAGTGCAGCCACGGGAGCCCCCGTCTGCGACATCGCGCCGCCCCTCACCCTCGCGGACTTCCACGCGCTGCGGCCAGCCGCGCTCAGGCTCGTGGCGGAGCATGGCGCCGACCTGGCCGCCCACGGACTCGCTGGCGCTGTCGCGCCTGCCGAGGAGCCGCCTGCCGCGGCCCCAGCCCGCCACGGGTGGCCCCCGGGACCTGGCCCACACGGGGCGTCGGCGGCGGTGCCGGCGTTGCCGGGCCCGCCTTGCCGCCAGGAGTTCCTGTTCCAGGGGCCGCGGGCGTTGGCGCCGCCGCTGGCGCGGCTGCCGGCGCCGCGGCCGCGGCTCCGACGCCCCGCCAGCCGCCGCGCGCGACGACTTCCGCGCGCTGGCCGCCATGCGCGACAAGGATGGCCGTCGCCGCATGGAGTTCCAGGGCGCAGTCAGGGCAATCCGCCAGCAGACTTGGCCCGATCGGATCGCGCCCGGGCCGGTCACGGCCCCCTGGTGCGCCAATTACACGCTGGAGAAGGGCGGCTCGGCGGTCGGGCAGCATATCGCGTTTCGCTCCGCGTGCCGCCTCCGGCGCGACGACCCCACCATGCTGCTCCACTCAGCGATGTCGAGGATCTTCCAGACAGCGGCGTGCTACGACCTGCTCGATGCCAGCAACATCGCCTCCCTCGACATCATCTGCCGTCAGATTGTGCGAGGAGAGGCTCAAGGACGTCTTCCTCGGGCCGTCGGGCTCTGACTGCCAGCGCGACGAGATCTACTTCTTCACAGGGCTGCAGAATGCGCCCGGGATCACGGCGCGCCCGGCGCTCGCCAAGTGGATCGCGGAGCAGGTCGCGGACGAGAACGCCGCGGCCAAGGAGCGCCGCGAGGCGCGCGAGGAGAGGGCGCCCGCCACGCCGCCGGCCCGCCCTCGCGGAGGCGGTCGCGGCCAGGGCCCGCCAACCCCTCGGCCGCTCGATGGGGCAAGACTGCTGCCAGCGCTCTGGCCGCGCGCGGGAGCTCCCGGCGCGGGCCTTTCGCTCCTGGCCCATTCTGGTTGCCAGTCGCCAGCGAGACATTTTTCCATTCTCCACGCCCGAGGCGCCGGCCAACCTGACCGGCGGCTCTCGGGCAGTTCAGCGACGACGTCAGCGGATTCAGCAGATCGCGAGACTCGCCGACGACGCCATTGGGCCCTTCAGTTTTTTGGCTCGCCGCTCCTACGACGGGCCCGCCTGGCTGGGCAGGGTCAACCAGGCGCTCGCGAAGCAGCGCGCGATGGGCAACTGCGTCGCGCTGGGGCCCATGCCGCGGGGCGTCAGCACCCGCGGGGGCTTCTGCGAGCTTCGTGGAAACGCCATCACGCATGGCGACCCCTCCCCTGTCGCGCCCTACAACATGGACCACGCGTCCTGGCCCGAGACGGGCGCGTCGCCAGCGCAGCTGTCAGGCGCGCTCGCCCCGGAGCACCACGCGCGGTTGAAGGATTGATTTGCCAGTGCGATTCTCCTTGACACCAGAAGGGCCAACCTTGATTTCGCCCCGCCGCCGCGCACCCAGCTGCCGACGGCGGCCGCCTTCAGCCAGCTCGAGTCGGCCGATTGCGACGTCTGCTACCTCTACGCTGGCGACACTCAGAACGCCTTCTACGCCGTCGCCATCCCTGACGAGCTGGGCGGCGCTTTCGGCCGGGCACGGCGCGCGCTGGCGACGCGGGCTGCCCCCTCGCGGACGGTCGCCCGGCCCGTCTGGGGGAATTGCTGACCCCGCGCCTCTCCGCGGCCCCCATAGGCTGGAGCTGAGCGCCGCGCCTCTGCCGGTCAGTGGTCAAGGAGGGCACCCGCCGGGGGGGGCGCCCGCCGAGCGGCTGCTCCGCGACGGGGCCGCAGCCGCGCCGCTGGCCCCTGCGGCTCTCCAGGGGGCCGCCCACGTCGACAACTTCCTGGCCCTGGGCGGGCCTCGAAAGGCCGTCGCCCCCACGGGGCGGCAGGCGGCCAGCGCTTTCACCGCATCCGGCTTCGTCGCCCACGAGAAGACCGGCGCCTCGTCGAAGGCGCAGTTCGCGGGCCTCGAGCTCAACGGCGTCAGCCGCGCTTTGCGGATCTCGCGGAGGCGAGCGCGGCGCCTGAAAGCCGCTTTAGCGGAGCTGCTCTCTCAGGGGCGCTGCAGCGGAGACGTCATGGAGATCCTGATTGGCCACCTGGCGTGGGTCGTGCTGCTCCAGCGGAGCGCGCTCTCCGCGCTGCCTGACGCGCGCGCCCTCTCTAGGACAGGCACGGGGCGCGTCTCGGACCTGTGGCGCCGTCGGCCCGCCAGGAGTTAACGACCGCCATGGGGCTGCCCCCGCTGCTCGCCGCAAACGCTGACGCCGTCTGGCACGACGTCGCGGCGGCCGGCGACGCCCCCCACTGGGGCCGCGGCGCGCTCCGCCGGCATTGCCTTGCCTCGGAGGCTGCCGCCTGTGGCCGAGTGGTGGAGCAGTGGCGGTGTCGCGCAGCCGGGGCGGCCAACGCGCGCGGCCGCGCCTTTCTGGCTGAGGGCGCGGCGTCGGACGCCCGCGCGGGCTCGGGCACCTTGCCCGACTCGGCCGCCCAGGACGAGCAGCTGGGTTTCACCGCCGGGCCGCTGCAGGCGCACGCGGAGGTGGGCTCGTTCGACCCAGTGGGCGGCTTCATGCACCCCGACCGCTGGCAGGTGGCCCAGAGCTTCAAATGGGGGGCCGATGCAAACATCCTTCGCCTCGAGGGTTTGGCTCTGACTTTGACTCTCCGGCGCTTGCTCCAGAGCCGCTCGGTATTTGGGCGTCGGCTGCTGGTCTTCGTCGACAACCTCGGGCTTGCTCTCGCAGTGGGGAAAAGGCGGCCGGGGGGCCTTCCAGATCCACGATGTCCTCCGTGAAGTCTGCGCCCTATCGCTGGCGCGCGGGGCCAGGCTGACGGCCCGACGGGCGCCATCCGAACGCGACCCTGCACACTGCCCCTCCCGAGGTCGCCTCTTCATCAAGCAGGCGCGGGATGCTGGCGCTGCGGTGGCCGCCGCTGGCGCTGCGGCTGCTGGCGGCGACGCCCACACTTTGCCACCCGCCCCGCCATTCCCGAACCTCGGCGAGGGCGGGGCCGCACTCGGCGCGGACCCTGATGCCGGACGCCCACGGGCGGCAAGCGGGGCAGACCGCGATTCACAGCGGAGTCCAGACAGCGGCGCGCCAGCGGTGCCTGCCGCTGCCCCCGTCGCCTTTCGCCCTCCCGACTTTGCGGCGCCAGCTGACCTGCTGGGGGGGGCGGTCGGTGAAGCCAGCGACGTACAAGGGCCGCCGCCGGGCTTTGGCTTTCGTTCAGCGGGTCTCGGCGGCGCGCCAGGCGCGGGAGAATTGCGAGCAGCTGGACCTCAGCCTCGCGCTGTTCCTGGACAAGCTGCTGTTGGAGGGCTTCGTGGGCGACGGCGCGAGCAAGCTGGTCGCCGCGGCGAAGTTCTTCCACCCGGACCTCGGCCGCTGGGGCGCCGGGGCGCTCCCGCGCGCGTCGCGGGCCGTGGCGGGGCGGGGCGAGGCGGTGCCGCGCCGCTCGCAGACGCCGCCGCCCCGGGCGCTGCCGGCAGCGCTCGCGGGCGTCCTGTTGCGCCGGGGCCTGGAGGAGCACGCGGTGGCGCTCCTGGTCTCGTTCGTAGCCTACCTCTGGCCTGGCGAGCGCGACATGCTCACGTCGTTCCAGCTTGTCGCTCCCGTCGAGGCAGTGGGAGGGGCCGCGATTAGCTGGGGCCTGCCGCTGTTGCCCGCGGAGCTGGGCAACCCTGGCAAGACCAACGGTTGGGGCGACGCGGCCCTTCTGGACTCAATCCCGCATTGGCGCCCCTGCCTCCTGGCCCCTGGCCACGAAGCGCCGCGGCGTGGCGCCGACGAGCCGCGTCTGAAGCTACCCGCCCGAGGACCTCTTGATGAAGTTGGCCGAGGTTGCTGCGGAGCTCGAGCTGACCCATCTGGGGATCACACCTTACACTTCACGGGCTTCGACATGGAGGCGCGCCTCACGACGTCCTCCACCGCCCGCGGGCACCGCTGGAGGCAAAGCTCAGGGCGCGGGCGGCCCCGGACTCGACCCTGAAGAGGTACGCCAAGCAGACGCGGGTGATCGCGGAGCTGGGCAGGGCGCCTCCGGCGGTGGTGATGTTCGGCAGCCGCGCCCCGCGCCTGCTCGCCGACGCGTTCGCCGGCGCGGCGCCGGCGCCGAGCCCGCCCGGACGGCTGCGCGCCCAGGGGGCGCTGAGGGCAAGCTGACCGACCGGCAGGTAGTTGCCCGCGTGCGCTCAGCTCTCTGTGGCATGAGCTGGTCTGTGTGCATCGATATCTCGCCTGGCCTGCGAACACAAAAACGTTATTTGGGTCGGGTGTCCCTCTGGATGGGCGTCTTTGGAACTGCGACCCGTGAGCATAATTAATGAGAGCCGCTGGACACAGGTGTCCATCTCCAGGGTTTCTTGATACATGTTAGATAGCCGTGCAGGCGTCTTGGTAGGGATCAACATTGGCCCGAGTGCTGATCCCTACCAAAGTTGGTTTCTCGGATCTCAGGGTCGCAGCGCCATGTACTTCAGATTTTCCCATAAGAATCGTGGTGACATCTACCTGTCACCTGTAGCCGTTTCTCTTGCCCGCCCTCCCTCCCTCTTCTCCCCTCCGCTCCTGGTCGGTGGTGGTGTGTCCTCCTTCCTGCTCCCTCTCCTCCTCTACTGCCAGTTCTCTGTGGCATGCGCCGGTCTGTGCTCATCGATCTCTCACCTGGCTTGCGAATGCAAAAAAGTCCCCTGGCCCGGGTGTCGCTCTGGATGATGTTGATGATGAGGGTGATGATGATGCGAATGATGATGATGATGATGGTGATGATGATGGTGATGATGTTGATGATGTTGATGGTCATGATGATGATGACGACGGCTAGGGCAATGATGAGTAATTATGGCGGTGGCGATGATGATGCTTGATGACGATGGTGATGATGATGACGATGAAAATTATCATGATGATGGTGCTGATGTTGATGTTGATGATGATGATGATGATGACGATGATGATGATGATGACGGTGATGATGGTAATGATGATGATGATGATGAGGATGATGATGATGATGATGATGGTGATGATGATGATGATGATGATGATGATGATGATGTGATGAAGATAATGGTGGTGATGGTGATGAGGGGAGGAAGAGGAGGAGGAGGAGGAGGAGGAGGAGGAGGAGGAGGGCCAAGAGGACGGGGCATCGGAGTGGAGAAGTTGATGGGGCATGGAGAGCAGGACTAAGGAGGAGGAGGAGCAGGACGAGGGGAGAGGAGAAGATGGCGGAGGAGACAGAGGATGAGACCGATGCGGAGGAGGGGGCAGACGGGAGGACGAGCAGAGTGGAGGATGAGGAGGAGGAGGCAAAGGAGGAGGGGGCCGAGGAGAAAACCCTTGCCCGACTCGGGGGCGTGCCCTCCCCGCCCGGCCCGCGACGCAGGGGCGGCAGCGGCCCGAGAGAAGAGACGAACGCGGCCGCGAGGCGAAGCTGCGCGGCACCGCGCTGCGCAAGCGCTGGCGCTTCTCCTCGAACGTCGCGCACCGCCGGTCGAACGTCCGCATGGACCTCTCGCCGCCACCACCGCCGGCTCACGCGCATCGCTGCGTGATCCTCCGCTGCCTCCTCTGCTTTTGTTTTCTTTTGCCACCTCTTTCCCCCCCCTATCCCTCCTTCCCGCGTCCTCCTTCCGCTTCTCCTTCCCCTCCTGCTACTCCTCCCCCTGGGGAGGCGAAGAGGGGCAGCCGACGTGGGAGTCGGGACCGGGCAGGGGGCATCGAACAAACAGGAGAAGGCAGAGGAGGCTTGCGCGGGCGCGGGAGGAGCGAGAGAGAGAGAGAGCGAGAGAGAGAGAGAGGGAGAGGCGGAGGTGGCCGGAGGGAGGGGCAAGGCCGAAGGAGCAGAGGCGGCGGCGCCGAGGGAGGGCGCAGAGAAGCAGGGGCAGGGGCGGCGCGGGAGGCGGATCTCCCCAGCGGCGCGCCCGCTCACCCCCGGCCGGCCGGCCGGGCGCCTGCCCCGCCGCCGCCGGCCGACACAGGACGACGCGGACGAGTTCCTCGCGGAGGACGGCCGCAGCCCGGAGGAGCAGGAGCGGGCGCGGTGGCGGCCGCTGGCGCGGGCCGCGAGTCGCGGCGGCCGGCGCGTCGCCGCCGTGGGCCGCGGCAGCGGCCCCGTCGTCGGTGCCGGCCCCCGTGGCCGCCAAGAAACGGCTCGGGATGAGGATCTGGCCTGGGCCTCCACCGTGCTCCTCACCCTCAGCTCTCGCCCTACCGCCGCGCGCCTTCGTTTTTCAATGTTTGCGAGAGCTTCACGGACGGAGGGCGGTTCCTCGTCACCATGCGCCTCTCGCCTCAGCGCCGCGCACATCCGCTTCAATTGTTGCAGCAGTTTTAATGGTTCTCAGCTGGAGGGAGGGCGCCTCGGGTCCAAGAGGAGGGTGAGGAGCACAGTGGAGGCCCATGCCAAGAAGCGCCCTGCTTGCCTCCAGGGTGCCCTGGGGTTCTGGAGTTTCACCGGTTCTGCGATGGAGAGCGTGCCGTTCCTACACCAGAAATCCATGGACGTCCTGGGGTCTCAGGGTTGGGTTTCTTGCGGAAGGCTTTTTGTGGACTGGCATCCACTATACGTTCCTTGCCCCCCCCCTCGTTGGCGCACATGCCTCGGACCATGATGCGCTGACCCCTCTTGCTGGTCCTCCCCGGCGTTCTCGAGAAGTGATGGAAGCCAATTCGGGGCCGACGTCACGAATCGCATCGTCCAGCGGTGGCCTGGCGGCGCGGATGCCGCTGAACATACCGGAACCGCACCAGCGGCCTGGGTCCCAGCAGGTCCTGCTCGGGCGACGAGATTCAGGAGGGGAAAAAGCACACAGACACAATTCATCGTCGATCCCGAGGAAAATATGGGAAAATATGGGAAGTGGGGGGGAAGACAAAAACCCAGAAAATATAGGAAAATATGGGGAATCTTTTTATTTGTGTGTACTTATTTGTGTGTCCCAGGGCCCCTTCAGAGATCTGCTGCAGATGCACCGCACCCCCGGCCAGGGCCATCCTGGGCCCAGGATCGGCGGGTGTCGGAGGCGTCCAAGAGGGGGGTGAGGACTAGGGGGCGTAGCTCATGCTTTTTGTTCCCATCGTCCTTAATTAAAACTGGATTAACCAGGGTTCAGTAACCAGGTTTTAGGTTTTGTACCTTGTCTTGGGGTTGACTTTTCGGATGGGGACCTATCACCCGGTCTACCTGGGCCTAACACCCGGTCAACTCCGACTTAAGACTTGGTCCGCGCACAAGGGGCGCTTCACAGTTTTATATCAAGCCACACAAACCTAACACCCGGTTTCAGTTCCCTGGTTAGTCGCTTCTTAATTTAAGGACCACATCCCAGAAATAATTCCGGGCACCCCAAACGGTTTCCAAACAATGTCTGCCTGACCCGCTGGCGAGGTGCCGAACGAGCATTTCCTCCCAGGGCCCGACACGTGAAAGCCGTCCAGTGTCGATACCTGCTTGGTGCTCGGAATGCTTTCTGGTGGTCAAGGCTTAAGTAGGTTGGAACTTCACAAGGCGTGGATCTCATAACCTGGGGCCATGACATCTTCCAGACATCCACGGCACACCCGTCTTCTTTCTGCACGCCCCTTGGCCCCGCGTCGTCCGCGCACACGTCTCGGGCCATCATGCGCTGACCCCCCTTTTCGGCGCACCCGAGAAGTGGTCGAAGCCCTGCGGGCCGACGCCACCAATGAATCGCAGCGTCGGGCTGCGAAGGTCCAGACGAAGAGGGGAGGGGAAAGCCGACCGGGCGGAGCCTCGACGGCGCGGTGTGCCGCCACTGGACTCCTGGGCCAGGGGTCTCGGCGGGTCCTGCTCGGGCGACGAGATCCGGTGCAGGTGCGCCGCCCTTGGCCAGACCCATCCTTCGAGTAGGGGGTCGACTGCAGGATTGCTTTACCCCAGCATTGCATTGTAGCGTCGAGTCCAGGAAAAGCGCGCGCAACTTTTTTCCGCAGCTCTGCGAACCTCCTGCGTTTTGTTTCGTAGCTTCGCCCTGGCAGTCAGAGTCTGGGGTGCCTCGGTTCTCTCGCCGATTCCCTGCTCGAATCCCCGTGAAGGAGGATGACGATTAATAAATGACCGGGGGTCGTGTTCACGCGGCGGCGCCCGGGATGACGATTAGAAAAAACCGGCCGCGGGCTGGACAACTATTCTTGTGAATCTTTCTCCTCCAGTCCGAAAACTGTGCAGAAGTAGCACAGTTTTCGGACTGGAGGAGAAAGATTCACCTCCTCCTCCTCCTCCTCCTCCTCCCCTCCTCCTCCTCCTCCTCCTCCTCCTCCTCCACCTCCTCCTCCTCCTCCTCCTCCTTCTTCCTTCCTTCGCAGCCCTGAGGGACCAATGTCTGAGGTGTCCACACATGCATACGTCAGCGGTGAGATAGGCGGCAAGTATAGCGGGGGACGAGGAGAGCAGCAATGGCCAACATCAACCCGACTCGCAATACAAATCGAGCGGGGCATATAGATGGGCAACTGACGCCTCCAGCCATGCATCCCCAGGAGGCGTGGGGGCACAGCGTTGTGAGGCTGCCTGCGTGATAACAGCAGCTACGTAGAATTCCACCTGGCTGCTGTCAGGAGGGGCCAGGATCGGCACGGCATTCATGCACAGGCACTGACGGTCCCCCATGGGCACACATCTCGACGTAGTGGTCGGAGACGTAGCTTGCAGGGAGCACAGGAACCTGACCTCGGGGACCTTCCAAATGCAGGGCAGGTTGGCTTGCGGAGCAGGTGGGTTTAAAATGAGCAGAGTCGCCAGGCCCGAGGACGCCGCACACAGCGCCAGCGTCAGTGCCGCCCTCAAGCACGCACTGTCGAGCTCCAGTTGCTTCCACTCCGAGGGCAACCTGGCAGAAATTCCCCATGGCTCATCGCAGCTTCTTAAAGGCCTGCATTCACCCCCCTTGGCTTTGCAGCGGGGGGCGGGGTCCCACGAGGAAAGGAGAAAATCCGTCACGAGACCAATAACACGCCCAGCAAGAATAAGATCAGTAATGAACAATAGCTCCTTATGAAATCCCTCAATGGAGTTCTGGAAAAGCTCGAGAATATTAAGAGACAAAACAAAAACATTCATGCCCGCTATGGCACTGGACTCCTCCGCTCTGTCCTGGATGTCACCTTGACTCCTGGGAGCTGCACGGAGGATCACAATGTACTTAGTACCAGGGGCCGCAGGCAGGTGGACCTCTGCCTGAGTGGTCATCTCTTCCTGGATGCACACTGGTTGGCAAGAAATTCTCGGCATGCAAGTGGGGAGGCCCTTGGAGGCAGCCGCTCCCCTCAGCCTAGGTCCCGTCGTGAGGACAGGCGGGAGCTGCGCAGACTCCGCGTAGTGGCCTTTCTCTCGGAGCGTGCGTGCTAGCTCCGCGTCCTCCGCCTTAGCCGCCATCACCTGTTCGGGGCTCAGCGGTGTGATGACGGCCATAAGGTCCGCCAAGCACTTCGATGAGCCATGCCGAACGTGTTTGAGCAATCTTAGATGCGTGTGGAAGTTGAGACCGCATGCCATGCACACAGTGCCTGAAACGTAGCTGGGGGCGGGGTCAAGGTGGGGGTGGCACTTCGAGCGATGGGAGGCCCATGCGCCCTTGGTGGCCAACACCGCCCCACAGTCCAAGCAAGGATACAAGGCGAGAACCGACGGCGGACGCAAAAACGACGGGAGCGCAAGACCCTTGGCGATGCAACACTTTCGCCACCCGTCCTTAAATTCTTCATGACGCTGATCGTCCAAAAATTTGGCCCTGGCAGCCGATACTGCTTGCTTGCAGATTCGCTTCCAAAACTTGTTGCTGCTAGACCTCAGGAGCCACAACCACCAAGCAGGGGGCCCTGACGGTAAGAATTCCCTGGCCAGATTCACATGTCTGCTGAGCCACAACAGGTCATCGCAACACAATGCGGACCATGATTCTGGCACTGAGGCTAGCTCGTCCAGGATCGCCAGCAGACAAGCAGGCGCTGATTTGAGAAGCCTGGGAAGAAATCGCAGCCGCCTGAGCCTCAACACCAGCTCGACGGGCATGATCTCACACTTGACAAAAACTCCACGGTCTGCAGCAGCCTTACCAGAACTAGAAGCGTACCCAAGACCGGCCGCCAATCTAAACGGGCTCAAATAGTTGTGCGCCAGGGTCGCCATCTGTTTTACGTTTAACTTGTGCCAAGTGAGGGCATTAAACAGAAGGTGCGACGTGCACAAAGAAGTAACATAAATCAACTTGGCCCTTAAATTGACTTGCCTCCTGGGGAAAACAGCGCGCCTCAGTACCCCTAGAGGACGTCGCTGCTGATGACAGCGGTGCGCCAGCTCGGGTCCCAGAGAAATGCGATGGTCCCGGTAACTTCCCAAGTGTTTGTAGGTTCTAGTGAGGCACAGGGAGACGCCTAAGGAAGGGGCGAGAAGACCAGTGGCAGCCAAGGCTGCACACTCCCCTCGTGCCTTCCTGGAACCTGTGCCGCTGAAGAAGGCCATGAGCTCCGTCTTGCCCGCCTTCCAGTTCATGGTGAACCCCCTAGACTTGATTTCTTCGTACATGATCGTGACGAGGGCGATGGCCGCCTCCTTCCAGAGCCTAGCGTCTAACAGCTCGATGCCGTTGACGAGGTCATCCATGAAGGCAGGATCCCATACGTCTTCCTCTACATGCTCGTGCTCGCGACCTCTGAAAATCCTATGAGACGGGACCATATCCTTAGTCCTCTGAAGATACCCCAGGGATCCTAATCTACTGTTGACCGCGATGATGATTGGGTCGAAGGCTATGATGAACAGGAGGTCTGCTAGTGGCATGCCTGGCCTCGTACCTAGGCGGGGGGAGACAACCCTGGCACTCCCCCGTACTTGGAACCAATTGCATTCCATCACGTCAACCACTGCCTCCAGGAGGTGCTTACTTGCCAGTCCAACCAGGGCTCCAGGCTTGGCGACTAGGGCATGGCACAGAGGCCCCAGACAACTTGGCATCTCCAAGTCCGCCAGCGTGTTTCGGATGTCCTCGCTGTTCTGGGCCATTCTGGCAACGAACCCTCGGATGACCGAATAGAATGCCGCCTTTAGATCGGCGCACAACGACAGGCATGTGCGCTCCCTAGCCTTGGCAGCCAACATGGCCGACCGAAGATGCAAGGATGCAATGTCAGTGCCGCGTTGAGGGAGAGCTCCCTGCTGGACCACCGACAGCATGTTCATCGTTGCCTCTAACAATTTACTCCTGAGGAAGGCATGGTGCAACTTCGCCGCGTGACATCCCAGTAGGATGCCTCTGTAGTGTTCCAGGGGTTCGGGGGGCCCAGATTTGCGCAGATCACATTGCCAACCTCCTTTGAACAGCAGGGGGCCCCTGGACGCCATGTCAACTTTCACGAACAACGGCAATAGGATCTGCGTGCATTCTTGCGGAGCGACCTGGAAAAGATCATTGCTGAGTCCGTCAGGCCCAGCTCCTCTCCTCTTGGCTGCCTTCATGATGTCGTGCTTGAGCCTGCGGAAGGGGGCGATCATGTCCAACTCCCTGGGATATACATTTCCCCGCTCGGGGAGGGCGTTGTATCTTTCGACCAGTCCTTCCCAGCTGAGTGCCTGCCCATTCTGAACTACAGCGAAATAATCAGTGAGGGCCTCCGAGAGATCTCCAGATGTGGCCAGAACCTCGCCCTGAGAACCTCGTCGGATTCTAAGCCCCTCGACCTGGAACTTGGAGCGCTTCCCCCCGAACCTTTGCAGCTGGCGAAGCACTCTCCACTCCACTCGACTCTCGTTTGAGGACCTAGCGTTGCTCAACTGCTGCGCGAGGTCGTCTAACAGCTTGTTGCGCCAGAGCTTCAAGGCCCCTCTCAGGGCCGGCTTCGACTTGACCAGAAACTCAAGCATGTGTGCGGCTAACACGCTTGCCGCCAGGATCTGTTTATCCCAATCAGCGAAAGCTTGGAAAAGCTCCGAAACCAGGAGGTCCAGCTCAAGATCGGCGATGTTCTGGGGGGCCCCCGCCCCAAGCGCCGCGGCGACCAGCCTCCTGACACCACCAGAGTCCTGCTTACCCC